TCAACATTTTAACATTGACTCTATATCCCATTTAAACCTAACAGTACTTTCTATCTAGCATTACCCAGCAGCTGATACACAGAGATATACTGACTCTGATTCTGGAGATTTTGGAGCCACTTAGCCCCAAAGCCCAGAAAAGCTGTTCTAGGACCAGGTCTTAGGAAATACTAACAAGCCAGTGAATATAATATGATCAGTGTGGGTTTCCAAATAGCTGAAATGGCCTGTGTGTGAGAAAAATAACACCATCCATCCCAGACGTATAAACACCTGCATAGGCAAGCCAGACAGCTGCAGAAGCACCTGTTTTATATACCTTTTCTGATGTAAATCATGGAAATTTGTGACAGGTTTCATGGGGAAAATGATAAGCTTCTTGTTGTTTGCCATGTGTGATGAGAAAAGCACATAAACCCTCCAAATAAAGCCATTTGTATTGCTAAATGAGTCTTGAGCATGGTGGGTTTTCAAGAAAATATAAATAATACAGATTAATTTGTCAGCTCAGGTTTGGGACTCAGCCTGTTCTGTGCCAAACTGCTGAGGGAAGCTGGTTGAAATAATTATTCTAGACTTAAGCAATCATTCTTTTTATTTCTGAAGGCTAATGGAGTGAAAACACAGCTTTCCATACCTTTGGTAATGACAGAGTCAGAAATAATGATTGGGGACTCTCATGTTCCTCTCATAATGAGGAAAGCAACATGAAATGATAGGGATTTGAGGCCTGAACAACTGCTTGCTCTTTATTTCAAAGGCAAATGGAGCATTGAGACCAGTTCTTTAGGTTAATGGAGCTACAAATAGGGTTTGGAGGGATGAATTGTAAGCATTCACAGATAATACAACAGGGTAATATCTTCCTTCATGTGGGAAAGAAATATTTACAAATGCTGTGGTTTCAGTGAAGTGAAGTATTCAGGTAGCATAACTTGTGGAATCAGAATGAATCCATAATTTATCTTTAACTTCTTTAACCTGTACGCTACTATGATATCATGCAAATTTACTGGCAAATAGAGCATGCTGATCAAGCAAAATCTATTGCATTTATTTGATCTGAAAAAAATATATCCTCCATGATTTATTGGAAACATGGTAGAATGTCTTTGAAAGCTGTAAGTGCTTATTCAGTATCACCAACATTTATTTATTTATTTACTAAAAGTTTGTTCTTTATTAGTCAACTGAAATTTTCAAAGCAGAATAAAAATATTGGCCAATATTCTGTATCAATTTAGTTAAGCATATTCAGCTACAAAACCTGTCCTAGCCTGACCACTCACAAACCTGATTCACCCATATGCCAATCACTAGTAGAATTAACCTCCATTTCCCCAATCAGCTGATGCCCTGTAAAGTAGGTTGGGTGGGGAGGGTTGTACATGGTGAAATGTTCTATATTCACCGTTGCTACTTAGTCATGACTGTGACACTATTGCCACAATCATAACTCCTCCATTCAACCTACTTTACTGGACATCACCTGAATGGGCAGGGGGAGGTCTATTCTGCTGGCAATCAAAGCATGATTGAATCATGCTTCCATCAGTTTTTGGGGGGTTGGTTAGTTGGCTGGGAAGTCGGGCCATCAGTGGTTACTTAGGAGGGTTGCAGACTGCCAGAAATAGTGCAAATTGAGTCCACTTTAAGGGTTAGGGTTAGGGAATCATGGGAACTGTATTTTATTGTGGCACCAGAGCTCTCTGACAGAGAAGGCTCAATGACTCAGAAAAAAACAACAATTCCCATGATTCCCTAGCACTAACCCTAACCCTTCAAGTGGACTCAATTTGCACTATTTCTGGCAGTCTGAAACCCCCCTTAGTTAAGTATACTTAAGAATGGGCCTTTATAGAATGCCAGAAATAATGCAGCTTGAGTCCACTTTAACCACCCTGGCTCAGTGCTAGGGAATCATGGGAATTGTCGGTTTTTTCTGAGACATTGAGCCTTCTCTGTCAGAGAGCTCTGGTGCCACAATAAACTACAGTTCCCTTAATTCCTTAGCACTGAGCCAGGGCAGTTAAAGTGGACTTAAGCTGCATTATTTCTGACAGTCTGTAAAGGCCCTAAGTATCTGATAGAGAATACTGACCATTATTTACGTTGAATTTAGACTTGAATATTCACTACTCAAAGCAGTGAATACTAAAGCCTGAAAGCAATGTCGTATTAGTGATATGTGGTTTGATGACACCTTCTTCCCCCTCCTTCTGTCCTTTGTACCAACTCAATCTCTGCAATGGAAGATTTCCCAGTTTCCAAGAGTTGGTTTAGGGCACACAGGGATGATATGTAGGATTATTCCCCTCAACTGAATTCTACTGGTGGAATCAATTCCATCAGCAGAAGCATCCTGTTGGATCGTGGCTTAGAATATCATGAAAATGCAAAGGACACATACAAATGTTTAACCTGAAGCCTTGACAATTAAATAACATTTTAACCTGCACATCTAAAACTAAGGAAAAACTAAGTGAGATGGTGAGAGGGAGTGATATTGAAAAAGAAGGAGACAAAAGGATGGGAAGGATGATGAAGGATGAAGAAGAGAAAGGAGAAGTGAGGAAGAGTAAAGAGGGATAAGGAAGGAGTAAATTGGGAAAGGAGGAACAAAGATTGGTTAGGGGAGAATATGGGGTTTGAGAAGTTGGATAAGATAAAATAAAATATAAGGTTATGAATGCAACAGTACAATGGCTAGTGTGCAAAGATAAGGAAAATTATTACAATGACAAATGTAGAGAAATAGAAAAGGGGAAGAATGAGTCACCTATTCCACAAGATTCAAGAAATCAAGGGAAAGTTCAAACCAAGGACTGGGATGCTCTATGACAATAAAAATAACATAATTCAAGACCAGGAAGGAATAAAAAGATGTTGGATGCAATACACAGAAGAACTATTCAAAAGAGATGACAAAATGAAGGACACATGGAGCGAAGAGCCATATGAAGATGAATCCCAAATTCTAAAAACTGAAGTGGAAGCTGCAATAAAAGAAATGGCAAAAACAAGACTCCAGGAACAGATAGAACTGTTGCAATCCACACTGACAGAGCCAATTCTAGTGCTAACCAACATATGTCAACAGATATGGAAAACAAAATGATGGCCAACAGACTGGAAGAGATCTATATACATCTCTATCCACAAAAAGGAGACACAAGAGACTGTGACAACTATAGAACCATAGCAATAATCTCTCATGCAAGCAAAATTATGCTCAAAATTTTGCAACATAGACTCCAACCACACATGGAGAGAGACATCTCAGAGGTCAAAGCAGGGTTCAGGAAAGGGAAAGGC